AACACGGGAACAAGGGGAACATTTTGTACAGAACGAAAAAACGTAAGAAATGTCCCTTGAGATGGCACAACCAAAGTGAGAACGCTCACCTCTGGGAGGACCTGATGAGCTTTCTTCATTTCCTTCCGGTATTTGTCATCAAAACGACGTTTCAGAAGTTGCCACCTCATTGCGGGGGTGTCTAATCTTAAAAACATGTAAGAAATGAAGGTATTTTCTGATGAAGGGAAGATTTTTCCACTGAGTTGGAAAGCGTCGAGGAAAGTGAAGGTATAAATTTCAACAACACATACTCTTCAAATTGAGACCGAAGAGTAGCTTGCAATTCGGGATCTTCGCAGAATTTCAGAATTTCAAGTGCTGAGTCAAGCTCCAGCCAAGCCCTGCTCGACAACCTGAGAACGAATATAGTTCGCATTGTCTAAAAAAGAATTAAATTTTAGTCATTACCATGTCATCAATTTCACCGCAGTCCATAGCTACTCGATAAGCGGTCTCCACCATTGGGTGAAGAGGAAGCGATTTTTTGGCTAAAGTTGTCCGACTGCCATACATGTCGAGTTTATCACCCTGAAAACACATGCTTCAAGTATGGGCTCTAGAAGGTCTACGACGGGTTGTCTCCAGTGCAAAACATTCAAACCAGTGAAAGGAATCAGAGAGCTGAAACTGAACGCAGAAAGCAGTAGAATGAAGAATCTTCACTTCTAAAATTATTACTATAACTGACCACAATAAGCGAAAGATATTCAGCGACAGCAGAGCGTCCGGCATTTGTCAACTTCCTCGCCTTCTCGTCTCCTACCCAACAGTGAACACCTCGACGTCCAGAAAACACCCACATTCTAGCTTTGAATCCGAAGTGATCTTAACTTCAAATCATTCATCCATAACAAGCAAAAATTCTGCAATTAAAAACAAATACGTACCTTCAAGTAGTTTGTCGAGCACCTGCACAGCAAGCGAAACAAAGCGCCAACATTTAGCGCAGACCTTTGCCTCACTAAAAGACAAATTTTAGTCAAAACTAACTTCAAAGCATATTGCTTGTATCTATATAAGTCTCTCTAAACTGCACCGATTCTCCTGTGTCAAATTTCATAGGAATATTTCCTGCAATCTCACAGGGCTCCGTTGCAAATGGCTTGGGACAACCGTGCTTGCGCTTGCTTTTCTAAGACCTTTCCCGCTAAAAACTCAGCCCTCGCTTCTTTAGCTTGTTAGCAAGTTTATTCCGAGCTAAACTTCACCGCCAAATGCATGAGTTAAATAACGCTGACACTGCGACTGGGAAATGCTATGCAGCCGCACTGTTCACCAAAAGTAGCATTTTTTGGATTGTAAGGTTTTCAAAAACCCAACAACACGTTGTTTAGAATCGATGAATTTTGCTGCATTTCATATCCGAATGACACTGTAATCCATGTGTGAAGGATTTTGACATATATTTAATGCACTTACTTGCAACATTTTCGCACTTCGTCATAATCCGTAAGATCGATATCGAAAACGAGCTCACGCTCGACTGCTTTGAAATGCGAGTGGCTTTTATTGTCTTTTGGCTGAAATGAATGAGAACGAAAAATAAGTGAGAGTGGAGGAAGCGGGAATAAATTAGCATCTATTCACAGAGTATAAGCAGATAAATCGAAAAGTGAATGAAGATATTCAAACAAATCTATAGCTTTATTTCTCGAGTCACAATGGTCTCGTAATAAAAATAAGGTTTTCAACTCACATTATGTTATTTTTTTTTCACGACGTAGTTATGTTGCTTTGTGAAAAATTGAAACAAAAAACTCGTATAGATGCAGTCAATTCGAGCGATTTTGCCATTCGCAGGCCTTCCAAGATGAATGCTCCAACGGGAAACCAGGAAGTTTTTATGGCTCTATTTCCAGTAAAGTGCGGGAGAGGCTATTTTGCTGCAATGTTCGCACCTAGAACACTAATCTCAATTTTTGCGAGGGAGGATCCTCCGATATGTGTGAACCAATGAGCTTGTTCGAAAACCAATGTAAGCGAAGGTTGATTCTTGTAGATGCTGAGCAATAAAGATTTTTGTAGTGGTTTTCAAAGCCTTCGCCGTGTGACACCAAACGCCCACCCTTCCCTTAACTGAAATAGACCCATTTTTTTAAACGAGAAGAGGAACTTCCAAGACTTCTACTTAGAATTATGAATCGAAGAAAAGAATGCAATGCTGAACCTTGTGAGAGTAGACAGCTCCGATATCCAACTTATGCGGACTGATTTTGCACAGCTCGTGCTCAAATTCGGCTTGATCGTCAAAGCTGCGGTATCGAAGATGCACGTCCTCCTCAAGAATGAACGCAAATTCACGCCTCGCAAAATAGTCTGCAGGCTCTAAAACACAATATTATAAAATTGTCACCAAAAAGGATCTCAATTTCAGTCTTATACTGTTATATGAAAGCGGGAATTACTCTTCTACACTTCAGAGAAAAATGAGATTTGAAAAATTATAAAATAGGCTTCTCACGCGACTTGTACTTTTGAGAAAAGCCTTGTTCACAAACAACGTTTAGAAAGACGAACTTACTTTGATTGTAGCAACAGCCATTTGACGTATGGTTTGAACGGAAAAATCCGCTTATAGTACTGCTGCAAAAACTGTCCAAGAAGTGAAGGATCGTATGCCGACATGGGAATCCTACGAAATTATACATTACAAACCAGACTTAGCATTGTGCAGTGACAGAACAAAAGACAAAAGGCTAACAGCTGGCTAAGAATTGCGAACCAGAAGGAAGAAATTCGAGATGAATTTGGTCACCTTTATGAAACCTTCAGCACAACCGTGACAAACTCGCAAAAATTCCGACTAATTTGAAGGAGAATGGCATAAAATCGAAGAAGAAAGCAAAAGAAAACGAAGAACAACTTTGCCAGAGATTTTGAAATATTTCGGTTCCCGCGCCAGATATTGCTATTGGAGCAGTTTTACTACTGCCATTCTTACTGCAACCATTCGGTAGAGC